ATATTTAAGTTATCATCAGTCAGAGTTGTCTCTTTTGAACAATTCTATGTGACATTAATATCTTATTGTCTTTGGCCTTATAATGAACTTTTAAATGCTTAATGTGCTAGAAACGCTTTTTATTTTTTGTCCACTGGTGTTAGATTCCATTGTGTTGTAACTTTCACTTCATTTTACTGCTGACTGCACAACAACCTGCTCCTCTGGGATAATCCTTGATCCAGGTACAGTCGTTACAGTTCATCCTATGTGGACCATGAATTTCAGAGGTGGTCCGGTTGACTGGTTTAATTCTGGGCGCGAGAATCTCAGTGCTGCGTTAATAACATGTCAGTGTGTCAGTAACACACCTCCAGGTCAACAGTGTCCTTGTGTCATGACTCAACTTCTACTCAGCTTTTTAAACTGAGTTAATGTCCTCCTCCTCCTCTGATTCCTGTTTTCATGTTCACTCATTAATTATTTCACCAGCTCATGAATTAGTCAGGTCTGATTGGCGTGTCACTAACGAGCAGCTCGTTACCTCTCAGCCGTCATTATGTGATGGAGCTTAGTGTCATTATGTCAGCTCGGTGTCGACATGGAGGGGTAGAGGTTACACCTGCTTATATACACCTGCAAAACCACACTGTGGCCTTGTATCACACAGACACAGTTTGATTAAGTTATTTAAAATAAGAATGAGACACTTCCAGGACATTTTCTTTGTCCAACTAAAGTGAAAAAGTAAGACAGGGCTGGAGTACCATCATCCACATGTCTCGTTGTGTTCGTATTCAGTCTCTGTGTTGTCATTGTGTGTCTCAGTAGTGGTTTTGTGTCTTGTAATAGTGGTTTTGTGGTGTTTTTTGTTTTTCCGGTGTAACAGGTGAACCAGGTGAACAGAGATTTAAACTGATTTACTTTCTGCAGATTCTCAGGCTGTTCTTTTAAAACGGCTTCAAACATCTGATCAGAGCAGAACCAGATGAGTGACATCACAGGAAGTTGATCAGTGACGAAGATGAACTCAACGAACACTTACATCAGAGTTGAACCTCAGCTGACAGACGTTACACGAGATGACCTGCCTCTTTTTGGGCACCATGGTAACACCGAAGGTGTGATTGATGACGGCCTTCTGCACCGGGTCCATCTGCAGGAAACACACAGAGGTCAGAGGTCGGCAGCCATGCTCGGGACTGACACACACACACACACATAATGAAACACAATGACACAAACTGTCACACACCGTGTTGAAGTTTGGAAAAAGTCCCACTGGCGACGTCGTCTCGACCGAGTAGGTCAGGAACGGTTTCATCATCACTGAGGGACCGGTGGCACCAATCAGCCCCGGCAAGGCCCCGCCTACTGTGCCGCACCCACTTCCTGCAGACAGAAAACAGTGAGAGAATTGACGCTGCTCTCAGACGTGCACTGAACTCCGCAGATTCTCCATATAACGCAAAAAAAAACTAAAAGAAAACAATGCTGCTGAAGTCGGGGGACAGTGTCGGCTCTTCCTAAAGTTCCAGCTTGTGTTTCTTGGATTGAGGACTTTGGATCGTTGTCCAAAGCCGCCGGCCTCTTTTCAGTCTCAGCTTCTTGACGGCAGCAGAACATATGATATTTAATGGAATACAGTTTCTGTCTCCTGGGTCACTGGCTGCAGCAAAACCCCAAGGCAGATTATTTACACCCCCCCGCTACAAGTTGGCAAAGAGGGGAGTTACTAAGTACTGAATTTATGACTTGTCCAAATGCCACAATTCATGTTTGTGTGTTTTTGTGTGTGTGTGTGTGTGTAGTTTGTATGTCATGACATTAACACTAACAAATAATACATCACATGAATTCTGGCCTCACCGCCATGACTTTGTTTTAAAATCTAATTTTAAGGCTTCGACCACAAACATCCAAAGACCTCATGCACATCATGTGCCGTGCAACTAAACTTAATTATGCTTATTCTAATTATTACGATAGCCGGGGTTGGCTGCGGCTCAGGAGACCACAAACCAGAAGGTCGGTGGTTTGATCCTCGGCTCCTCCAGTCTGCATTTCCAGTGTCCTTGCACAAGATACTAAACCTCAGTCTGCTGCTGACGGCTGTGCCAGTGGTGTGTAAATGTGTGTGTGAACGGGTGAATGTGACTTGTTGCTGTGAAACACTCTGGGTGGTCAATAAGACTGGAAAAGTGCTGTATAAATAAAGGCTACTGAGTTGTGACTGTTTGTGTCCGTATGTGTAATGTTCGAACCTCAACAAAGATTTTCCAGAGTGATGACACTTCTTGGCAAAGACGCCTGAGAACAAATGGAGGAAATCCATCTCACTCAAATGTTTATATATCAGTTCAACCTGGAGACCTGAGCATCTGCTTTACAGTAAGAATGAGACGAACACATGGAGCTGTGACCGCTGGAGGCCGAGAGAGGGGATGGCACAGAGAGGAAAAGAGAGAGAGGCTGAATGAGCTGCCCGCATAATGAGTCCATGTGTCCAGTCGCCACCGGGGCCGGTGAGAGCTGCTCTGTCGACTCAGCTGTTCACAACCGTTACAGAACAAACCCAAGAAAACTTTTAAAAGCTAATAAACACAAAGACAAAGCATTTCTTCTGTCAGTGATGTGCGTGAAGAGTCACAGCTTATAGACGCCCTGCAGCGAGCGATCTCATAACAACAGAGAGTGGGTGGAAACAAGGAGAGACGCTGAATCAGCCCTGACAGAGGAGGAGGAGGAGGAGGAGGAGGAGGAGGAGGAGGAAGCTGAAGAAGAGGAGGAGAAGTTTCATGGTTATAGTTTTTATCTGAACTTGAATTAAGTTAATTTAAAAATCCTTTTTTAAAATGTACAATAAAGCAGTTTATGTGGTTCTGAACTCATTATACTTAATGTACAGACAACATGGCTGCTCCACCTTAACTGAAGCCAAAGACGCCCCCTGGTGGAGGTCAAAAACCCTGACGCCTCCATGTTAGTGGAGGGGACATGGAACAAACTAAACTATCATGTTAAATAAATGTCTCCAAGATGTTTGTTTTTGTATTTGTTGTTTTTAATTGGACGTCATGATTGACAGCTGAGACTGACTCGCTATTGATCGAGCATGTGTGTCGGTGGGACCTCGGTATCCTGAGGCTCCACCCCCAAATTGCCACTGCGCATTAGGTGACACGTCATCCATCTTTCCACACAGTCTATGATTGCAACCCACACTAAATGCATTGCAACTCAATGGAGCCCATTTTAAATACCATATCACACATTAACACCTATTCTACAAGCACAGACACACAATTTAAATTTGAAATACATTCTCCACCAACTGATGTAACCCATTGTAACTGGTTATAAATAAAATACTACTAATAAAAATACTTATAACCTGTTTGAACCATTGAAAATGCACTAATAATTCTATAACCCACTGTAAGGTATATCCAGGTCAGAACAGGCCGGGCCAGGCCAGGCTATATGTGCGTGCCTTCGGACTGACATTAGGCTAGCTGTGGATTAGCTGCATGCCACACTGCTGCTCTCTGAGTTTGACCTCATATAGCAGAGCAGGAGTCAGAGTCTGTATTTATCACCACAGCTCTTTATTAAGTTCAGGACAACATGACACAACACGGTGCTGTAATCAAACACATGTAGCTGGACACACACGACGACCACTGTGTGGATCAGCTGTTATTAGCTGGAAGATTATTTGTGATGGTAAATACAGATTGGGGCCTATTTTTATCGATGGTGTGATGTGTCAACTTGATGGAAAAATAAAAGCTTTGCATCGGATAATGCAGCCACAATGAAGATGTAATTCTAGTAAAGTGAATCTGAACCTGTGAGCGCTGTCGTTGCTAAAAATATCTCCATTGTCAGAGCAATGTCAACAACGTTCTCTGTGTAATCCTTTATATATTGTATATATTCTCCTATTACTATAAGATTTAATTTTCTCTATACTGATCCTTCACTTATTTATTGCTTTTTTTCTGATGGCTCTTATGTCTGATATCGTCCTTGCTGCCGTAACGAGGGACATTTCCCTGTTGTGGGACAACTGAATGATTATCTTACCAGGAAACGTGGTGGAAGGTTGGAGTTTGAGCCAAGGACGAACCCGTTAACCTCGGGAGCAGATTTGATTAAAGGGGTCGGATCCGAATTTTCTCTTTTAAACTTTAAAATTGTGAAAGAGGGAGGTTTGGTTATATTTTTCTGGATTTTCTCAAGAAATAATGTAAAGATCTTTAAGCTGTGGATAATGAACCAGGTCTTGTGAATCAAAAGTATTTAAGGGGAGGGGTTCTCCAGTTACTGTGTGTTAACAAATATTCTTTTCAACATACCAGAGAATGGATATTTCTATGAACACAGTGTGTTCTTGGCAGAGCTTCGTGCTTTCCGAGCGCCCTTCTTGTTAATCTGTGACATAATTGAAAACTTACAACTCCTTCACTTAAAGACAGAACTTCCTTAAAGACCCTAATCAACTAATTAATGGTTCTTTAGTTACCACAGGAATCTGCTTGAGGACGACTTAAACCACCTGAAGGAGCTCAGAACATCCTGACGGACGGTCGGAGCCTTCTCAAGGATCACTTGAGCCTTTAAAAACCCGTCTCTCAATCTGTCCGACCTTTTAAGTGTCAGTGTTTCGATATCCTTCAACACCACACACTCAAATAACTGCTGATTTCAGTCCGCGGGCTGGTATTTATCAGAGGTTCTTCATTCAGTCACGTTCACAGTGTGAATCTTCTACATGCTGATAGAATCTGTTCACGTCGAGCTCCCGTTCTTTTCTTCGAGATCTGTATGACGTGAAGATAATTTTCATTTTGTGTGTGTGTGTGATGAACAGTGTGGTGACAGAGTCGTCTTAATTCTGTCCTTCTGTCCTGTCCTCTGAGATCTGGTTACCACACACACACACACACACCCCCGCTAACACACACACACACACACACACACACACACACACACACACACACACACACACAGTAGGTTGCTGTTCTAAGAAGCTTCTATAAATACTGATACACATCTGCTACTGCGTTCACATGGGAAGTCTGCAAACCGCCACGAGAAGTGACCAACAATCAAGTAACATGTCAGTTTTATTTCAGGCGGCTGGTGACTGGTGAGAAAGATCTGTGGAAGCCACTTGTAAATAAACACTGATGATGATGCTGAACGCTCGAACGGCCTCGGAACAACCCGCCCTTACTTCTGAGCGACACCTGCCCGTTATGAGTGAGTTAACTACATCCAATCCAGTCTGGCTGGTGGAAGTTAAACCAGCTCTCTCTGCTTCTCTGTTTCAGGACAGTTATGAACAGAAACTCTCCTTCCACCAGGTTTCATGATAATCTGTCCAGTATTTGCATAATCCTGTTAAACGACACACGAACAGACAAACCTTGTTGGTGAAAGTAATAAACTAAACTTTTACCAAAGAATTTAATCCTTTTATCTTATTTGTAAGTTTAAATCATTATGAATCAACCGTATCTCAGTCCCACACGTTCAACACCACCACAGATTCTCCACTGGTGCAACGTTTGCTGCTTGCTGGTTTGGACGAACGGTCTATAAATTGATCCTAAACCCTTTCTGAGTCGTAGCATCCAGTTTCCTGTTGGTCACTCTCTGATCTCTGCAGCGGTCAGATTTATGACTTGGCTGCTGTCAGGGTCATCTCTGGCATTCACACCCCACACACAGAACACACACACACACACACGCTGTTACTAAAAAGTGCGGTTGCTATGTGATCACTCACATCAGCCTGCTATATAAATCCACGTGGGGCTGATTAAGCTCCGCAAAACTTTTTAGTTAGTTGTAGAAACTGGGGCACAGCATCTCTGGTGTTTCTGGCACGATCAGTACTTTGTGTTTGCTGCACTTTTATAGAAATAAATCCCATTAGAGCCGATGATCAGTCAATTAACTGGTGAGGCGATCAACTGAAAAATAAATTGGCAGCTATTTTGAATATTTTTTACATGACCCGTGAAAATCTAATGATTTTCTTTGCCTAAGTGACCTTGAACTCAATCTTTGGGTTTTGAACTTTTAACAATCTGATGAATTGATAGTGAAAATAATAAATTACACATTTTTATATATATATATATATATGTATCAGAATAATTCATCTGCCTGTTGACAGGGGGTCAGAAAAAAGATGACGCACACACCCATACATACACATACAGTGCTAAGTAGGTGTAATTAAAATAAGAGTAGTACGCAAGCAACCTGATGGCCAATAACAACTCATCTTTCAACTGCTCTATGCATTTGTGTGTGTGTGTGTGTGTGTGTGTGTGTGTGTGTGTGTGTGCAGTGGCCTTCATAACCCTCTAAATATG